TGTATGAAATTCGTTTTGGTTTTTCTTGATTTTCACATTTTTACTTTTTTATTCTGCCCTCCTACTTTAAGTGGCTCGTGTTAGCAAACATTTCAATTTTCGAATAGACTGTCAGCTATGTACAAAAAAAGTTGGGATGTTGAGAGAAAAAAAAAAAAAGAAACTCAAATGCCCACTAGAGGAAAAGCCATCAAAATGGGGCCATCGGTAGGCTGACTTGTTTACATTTTGGCTCGACTGGGCTATGTTTGCCTTTGGATCAGAGCTGCCAGAGCAGGGCCTTTTCGGTGGGTTATTCAAGTGGTGGGGGTGGTGCTGGGGTCACTGCCTGGCCCGCCCTTGGCCGTAAATTCATGTTAAAACAATCTTATTAATGGCTATAAGGGCTCCTACCTCCCCATTATATCTTTCTAATAATGTTTAACTGCGATTTTTATATGCGATTTCTGTTTTTTCCTTTTTTTTGTTTTTTTGATAAAATATTACCGCCTGGATTTCCTGTTGCTGGTTTGTTGTTGCCTGCCAATTTTAGCCATTTAGTGTGATTCCAGTGTTATCTTTATGCGAATGCCGCTGTCGCTTATCGCCTCCGGTCTGTCCACAAGGCCCGTAATGGGCTTAGCCGGACGGAGTGCTGAGGCGGAGCTCTCGTGTCGAACTAATTTGCTATTTTTGCCATTTTTTTTTATTTAGCATTATAATTCAGTCAGGGTATTTGAGAAGCATTGATTAAATAGTAAAGGTGTGGTATTAAAGGGGCCTTTTTTTACTCCCAAAAATATTAATTGCAAAAATAGAAACTAAAAGCCTTGCCATTCATAGAAGTATTAACTTTTATTTTTGCCCATTTATGACTAGTTTTTTTCATTCATCTAATTTTGGATTTTGATATATACGATATGGTGGATATTAATATTCCATATTTATATATAACTCGTCGTATATCTCGTGCAAGCCACTTTCGTCCAGGTTGAGTGAGTCAGATTGAGTGCATTGTGAGCCAAAGTGGAAATAGCTCTCTAATTAGTTGCTGGGCATATAAATCAACAAATAAATTAGTGCGGCGTAGCTTTGAATGAAAACAATATATACTATATATTCGCACTCGTTTTTGTGTATGGGAATCATGTGTGTATGAATAATATCCCATACAGTTTTTCATCAATATGCAAAGTGCCTGCTTACGGGCCAACAATTTAAAGTGCTAGTGCTATGGTAACGCGAAAAACCATATAAAAATATATATGTATATTGGGGTGAAAATTCAAGAGAAATTTTAATTAAATTCCGCGTCATCAATCGATCCATGACACTGACACTGACATAGACATGGACACAGAACACATGTTCCCCATTCGGGGCCTCTACGGATGGGATTGGATTGGATCGGGTTCGTTCATCTGTCTGGGCGCTCCTCTAATCTGTTGAGTAATTTCTTTGATGGCGAATAAAACTTTCGCCTTCGGGTGGTTTTATTTATTTTTTTTCCTTACGGTTTTCGTTTTGAAACGAAACTAACGTCAAAGTTTCGCTGGAACTTTGTAATTGATTATCATAAAAATAGCCATGTTAATTAGTGGAAAAAGCTGATGATGGAGCTATCCCAGCATTGATCGTTGGTCCAGCCACTCCAACCACATCATTAGTCCTGGTCCAGCCCTCTCCGTGGCTAATGGCATAGTTTCCATCTGTTTGTGAGATTTGGGGGAGTTTCCCGATGCCAGAAATGCTTAAAAACTAGTTAATGCCAAATGCTTGGTCTGGCCGAGAAGCTTAACCAAAAGTTCCTCGTAGCTGTGGTTGGGAAAAATAAATAATTTCTCTGGTAGTTGCCTGGCGATGAAGGAAAATGCCAGTTTTATTTCTGTGGATAACTTTAATATAACTCTGATGGTGCTTAAGAATTGTCTAACAAGAAAATCTAGTTGTTTGAAGTTTCTAGTATTTAAATAAATTTTATCCTGATTTTTCAAAATTGTATTTCTACTTCATTTTTTCTTCTAAACTTGTTCCATTTCTGACACATTCAATTTAGTTTTGTGCTATTCGTCCCATTTTTTGTGTCCCATTTTTATACCCTCGCAGAGGGTATTGTAGATTTGGTCAAGAGTGTGCATTGCAACGGATATTTTTTTAATTTTGTTATATCTGCTTAATAACTGTACTATATAAGCCCATATATAGTTGCCAGGGTATATAAGAATATTTAAATATAGTATATATTCCAACCGATATTATCTTTAAGGGTATATCAACTTCGTCTCCACCCGAAGTAGGCTTTCCTTTCTTGTTTTTTTCTTGTTACGGCTCAGAAATAGGAAATCGTTTTTGGTTATTGGGAAATAAAAGCAATGACAGGTCGCTTCTTTTATTCACTTTTTTTTTTGGGGACTCTCTTCTGGAGCCATAAAGGCGACGGACAGCCCATTCGAGATACACTTTAACTGCATCTTTAAGCCAGAAGCGATGAGAAATTCATTAATGGTTTTCGCCCTCTGGGCGGTTGCATGCACCTTGTTGCCATAAAATTCCCCAAGCGCCTATAAGTAGGCCATATACTAGCACTTATAGAAGGATCTGGACGCTTTTGTTGTTGGTTTGGTTTATGCTCCTTATTGTTGTTGATGTTGCTGTTGGAATTGCGGAGGAGAAAAATAAAATCCCATTAAAGTGAGCGTTTGTTCTCGCCCCGGCCATATCGCCTTGTTTCATTATGTCACGGCTTAAAGATAAATCGTTACTCCAGAAGTAGCTGAAATGTTTGTGCCGAAGGACACTGAGAAAAAGTGCCCCACCCTTGGGTAAATGTGTAAGTAAGGAAAGCACAAGTAATTCCAATAATTGTGTCGCAGTGTTGGATATTAAAGCGAGCAAAAAATGGTGACAAATGCATCAAAATTAAAATTACGAAGTGCCACAGATCAGGAGCCGAAGGACCAAAGGATGGTGGATGGATGGCGGTGACACCAGCAGCCAGTACCGAACAGACAAGAGGATGACGCTCTCAAGCTGCTTTGTGCTGCTTGCTAGTAATGATAATGGGGATGAGGCGCGTGAGCCTTGCCGAAGGACAATAGAGCCTCCCGAAAGGACGAAGATGCGTATAACGTGGCTGACGGCGATGATGATGTTGGCGACACTCCGGGCATGCCAATCCTCCGGCTGTTGGTAATGATTTTGATGAAGTTTATGGCTTCCACCAGCCCAACGATAAAAAAAAATAAAATAAAATAAAAACAAAAAATATTGTTAACTGGCAATTTTTCCTTGTCGTTCACGTGCCGCACGGTTCTTCTGTTTTGCCACAACCTGTTTCACAGCTCGGGGCACCGTCTATTAATTTATCAAAATTATTACATCTTTGGCCTTGGGAACGCGGCATTAAATTGTTTTGGAATTCTTCCTGTTAAACGGATTTAGGATTGCATAATTTCCGGACAAAACAAGAGTAATTTTTAACAATTTCTCAAGCTGTGTTTATTAAGTTTGTTATCATTAATAATACGCTTTTTAAAACCCTGGATGATGTATTGTATTTTTTGAATATTCATTTTTGATCTCTCTACAAATCTAATAATGCCTTCAAAAGAAATAAAGAAGAAAATTCTGTTCATTTCAAATATCCTTTTTTCCTTTTTTTGATTTATTAGCCAAATTACTTTCAGTTCATAAGCACTCTAAAAGCTTTCTGAAAACTGCCACAAAAACATATCCTCTTCTACCCAACTGGTTTCTTGCCAACTGGTTTCTGGTTCTAATTAAATTTTGTCATTTGCAATGCATCCACCTGCTTGATGATTCTCCCTATAATTTGTGACCCCAGGATATGCTCCGAAATCAGGCATCCAACATCCAGCTGTCTTCATTAAAAGTAGAAATTCAATTTAAAGCCATGTAAATTCTTGGCAAACTCCAGCCAAAAAGTCTGACGATTTTCGGAGGGCGTTGCATTATCCTTCTATGAACAGAACATTTTACAGCTTAACTAACATGCACCTGCATAGTTTGGGGGCGAAAAGTTTTCCGGAGCATTGTTTCGGAAATCCAATTAAATTTGCATTTAGTTACCGAACGTGATCAGAAGCCATCAGATAGCTATCGGCGTACAAAACACATACGTATTTACATCGATTGTTTGCCGGTTTCTGGTTTCCAAAAACTTTCGGACATCCGGAGGTGGAAAGGCAATAAAATTCACCTCCCGAACACTACATTGTGTGGACGAGATTAAATGCCGCCTACAACCTAGTGCTCCTAAGCCTCGGACAATGCAGGGTTTTACTTTTGTTTGGGGCTTTCAGGTGAAGGCAATTGTCGATTGAACGATTGTTTCCTGAGCCTAATTACTTTGGCTTTTCCAGTTAAAGCTGCCGGTATAGCGACCTTGTGAGCTACCAAGAAAGTGCAATTTCAGTTCGGGCTTAAAGCTGTCCAGTGGCAGAGAAGTTTCCGGAGATTTCCGCTATGATGAGCAGCTAGAGACAGCAACTGTCACATTCGCATTGTTTTTAATAAACTCATTCCGCCCTCCGATGTAACCCAGAAGCCCAAAGTACCAGGATACCGAGGGAGCGTGTCTGACAGCAACTAAAAATAAAAGCCAGTCAAGGCAACAACTTAATCCCTTTTGGCCAAAAAGCAGACAAACAAAAGGCAAAACAGACAGCAAACGAGGCCAAGTAACTGGCGAGGGAAACTTGCTTTTTAAGTCCATTTAAGAAGTACTCCCCATGGAAAACTTTGCAATAAGTTTAATGCAACTTGTCAATGTAATAATGGCGTCTATCAGAGCAGACTGGAAATATGATAAATTACATTCTGCTGAGACTTTGTTAAGCTAATCTTGAAGGCTTTTGAAATATGTAGGGAAGTTCCTGTGTACGCTTCTCATTACCAAATTAGTTTTCAGTTAAGATCCTTCCAAGTCCTTAAATACAATGTTGCATTAATTTCTCCCAAAACTAAACTAAAACCCCAAACCCTTTGTCCTGTACTTTCAGAATCCAGCAGAACGGTCAATTAGCAATGAGCGAGTTGTTCCAACGGGCCCTGTGAATGGCCAAGAGACTTGGTGTGGTTTTGGCCAAACGGGTAAGGAGCCGAGTTCCGCCGGCGACGGAAATGGCTGCTTAAGTGGTGCGCATCCGGCAAAGTCGAACCGAACCGGAACCGCAGCCGGAACCATCGGAATAGCAACAGCAACAACCCAGCTGAATCGCAGAGCACTCTACACATTAGAACGCCGCAAATAAACCAAAAAAAGACAAGGATAATGGCCAATCTGAGCTGGATGGCCACCACCCAACTACCATCTGTGGTTACAGCCGCGAACCTGAGCCTGACCACGCCGGGCAGCACGAGCGCCAGTTTGGCGGACGTGGCAGCTGCGTCCATGGACGAGGACCGCACCGGCGGAATCATCCACAACCAGTTCGTGCAGATCTTCTTCTACGTGCTCTACGCCACGGTCTTCGTCCTGGGCGTGTTCGGCAATGTCCTGGTGTGCTATGTGGTCCTGCGGAACCGGGCCATGCAAACGGTGACCAATATCTTCATTACTAATCTGGCTTTGTCGGATATACTGTTGTGCGTCCTGGCCGTTCCCTTCACACCGCTCTACACGTTCATGGGTCGCTGGGCCTTCGGGAGGACTCTCTGCCACCTGGTGTCCTTCGCCCAGGGCTGCAGCATCTACATATCCACGCTGACCCTCACCTCGATCGCCATCGACCGGTACTTCGTGATCATCTACCCCTTCCATCCGCGCATGAAGCTCTCCACCTGCATCGGGATCATCGTGAGCATCTGGGTGATAGCTCTCCTGGCCACAGTGCCCTACGGCATGTACATGAAGATGACCAACGAGCTGGTGAACGGAACGCAGGGCGCCGGCAACGAAACTCTGGTGGACGCCACCCTGATGGCCCTCAACGGCAGCTATGTGCAGCAGGGAGGCCAGGGATTGATGGAGGCACCCGATGCCACCACCTCGGCGGCCCAGGCGTACATGCAGGTGATGACCGCCGGCCCGGGTCCGGAGGAGCTGCCCTACGTGCGGGTGTACTGCGAGGAGAACTGGCCATCGGAGCAGTACCGGAAGGTGTTCGGAGCTATCACCACCACTCTACAGTTTGTGCTGCCCTTCTTCATCATTTCCATCTGCTACGTCTGGATATCCGTGAAGCTGAATCAGAGGGCCCGGGCCAAGCCGGGCTCGAAGTCCTCGCGGCGGGAAGAGGCCGACCGGGACCGGAAGAAGCGCACCAACCGGATGCTAATCGCCATGGTGGCCGTCTTCGGACTCAGCTGGCTGCCCATCAACGTGGTCAACATATTCGACGACTTTGACGACAAGTCCAACGAGTGGCGCTTCTACATCCTGTTCTTCTTCGTGGCCCACTCGATCGCCATGAGCTCCACCTGCTACAATCCCTTCCTCTACGCCTGGCTAAACGAGAATTTCCGCAAGGAGTTCAAGCACGTCCTGCCCTGCTTCAATCCCTCCAACAATAACATCATCAACATCACCCGCGGCTACAACCGCTCCGACCGCAACACCTGCGGCCCACGACTGCACCACGGCAAGGGGGAGGGAGGCAGGGGTGGCGGTGGCAGCCTGGACGCCGAGGACGAGAACGGCATCACCCAGGAGACGTGTCTGCCCAAGGAGAAGCTGCTGATTATACCGCGGGAGCCCACCTACGGCAATGGCACCGGCGCCGTCTCCCCCATCCTAAGCGGACGTGGCATCAACGCCGCCCTCGTCCACGGCGCCGGCGACCATCAGATGCACCAGCTCCAGCCGACGCACCTGCAACAGGTGGAGCTAACGCGGCGCATTCGGCGGCGTACTGACGAGACGGACGGCGGCGACTACCTGGACTCCGGTGACGAGCAGACCGTGGAGGTGCGCTTCAGTGAAACGCCGTTCGTCAGCACGGACAACACCACCGGCATCAGCATCCTGGAGACGAGCACGAGTCACGACACGGAGGCGATGCTGGAACTGGCAGACGCCAACGGTGGCGGGGGAGCTGAGTTTGGAAGACGAATCAACTGAGATAGGGTGAGTTGGGGGAAACCTTAATGTTAAATAAATACTTTATGAAATGGTGTTGAGTTCACATTTAATATCATTACCACTTAAGCCTTTACCGAATTGCAGTTCCCTAAACTGTCTCATTATCCTTAAAACTTGTTTTCCCAAAGGAAAACTTTAGTCAGACTTGCCTGGGACAAGTTTGGTTGAAAGTTTCAGAATCTCCAGATGCTGGGATTTAATTAAAAAGCCTTCTTCCTCTTTAAGGATCCATACCTTAAAACCACTTTATTTTTGGCCAAAAAAAGAAGAAAGAATAGAGCCAAGTGCAAGCTCGTTGCCTGATTGCGATTGTTCGGAGCCAAAGAGAATTGCTTACCAAATCAGAGGGAATGCTTTATGAAGGAATCATCCACTTGGCTTTCCTGACAAAGAAAAACCCCATTAGAGGAGGCGGAATCCGAGCGAACCTGCATGGGTTTTATACAATTTTGCAGTAAAAGCCGAATGAACTTACATTTCCTAGCATTTTTTATTCCACTTTTTTTTTTGTCTCAACCACAAAAGCCCGGTATTTGGGAACAGATTTTCGGGGCAACAGTGTTTTCGGGGCCAAATTTCATTTGTTACGCTGCAGTCTGGGAAAAGTACTTACCTGCATACTGGTATTCCTGCCACCCAACCCCCAGACTCCGCTCCGGGTGAGCAGTAAATCAACAGCCAGCAGGAACTGAGCGCCAAACTGCCATGAGTCAGCCAAAAGTTGCTGCCTGTCAGCGCACAAATCCCGGCCAGCTCTAGAAAACCCAGAGAATTCCCCGTCTTCGAGATGGTAATAAAAAGTATATATACTTACAACGCAGAATTGTAATTCGGGGGCAGTGCCATAATTTAGACATTTTTTATACACTTCTATATATTTTAGAAGAATAAGAATTTTAAAATATACTAAGAAGTAGTTTTAGGGTACTGCGATGTATTATTCATCATTACCATTTCCAAGAAAATTCTAAAAATAACCTAGAGCATTTAAAATTCGTTACAAAAGTTCAAAAATAAAATGAAGAAAATCAAGTTGTTATGCATAAAGTTTCTTTTTTTCAAATGGCCAGTCCAAGATGAACTTTTCAAGTCAGCTGGCGGCTGTAAGGTGGATCCAGCAGAGTCCTTGACGGATGGCCAGGACATGGTAATGGATTACAGAAATATGAGAAACGTGCCGACAATAAAGCGACCCTTTACCGTTTCGCCCCATCCAATTTTTCGGGATTTCTGGTCTGTCCAGGTGCATAAACATAAATATACTTAATATATGTACACAAATTACCACGTACATTTGGCCATTTGGATATTTACATTATCTTGTAGTCGGCATATACATATATTTATAAACATGAAGAATTTGTTTTTGATGTATAGAAGGGGTCATAAAATTTAAAAATACATTTATAATTCAATTAAAAGCAAGGGAAATGGAAAGAAAAATTCTCAGTTTTTCAGCTCAGATAAATATGTAGATATATATCTAAAAAAATAAAAAGAACTTGCTTCCTCAATTTAGTAGAAAGTTCTCCCTCAGTGAAATATCAACTAGCCAGGGGATGTTACTTGTTTGCATTTGGGTTATGTTTGTGGTTGGTTTTTGAAAGCACAGACAGAGTCTCCCCATCGCGTGAGAGTGGTTGTGGCGCGGAAGGACGAAGGACTACTACGGACTACGGACTACGGACTATGGACTACTGGCTAATGAATTATTCAGTTGGTCGTTAGCAGCACACAATCCCACACGACTCTGCCTAATTACACCGACGAGATGGGCCGGGCTGGACAGTAAATAAACGCAGCTTCTGTGGCCAGGATGTAGGAATTTGAGAGATGCTGCTACAGGGAATGGGTTTCAGACTGAATGAATGAATGAATGAGTGAATGAAGAATGCCTGGCATTTCAAATATACATAGAAACTGAGTAATCTCTGTTCACCGAGAGAGATAGGTGCATGATGTCCCACTATCTGCATTATGCATGAGAAACAGAATCGTTTTACTTTATTTTTCTATTGTTTTGCCCTGCCAACTGACAACTGAGTCCATGTCCCTGTCTGGTGATGGCAAATGGTTTCACAAAGTTAGTTACTTTGCCAACTGCAACTGATAACTGATAACTTTCCAGACCGAAAAGTGTTGGGTGGAAAAAGTTTTCTGCTTCCATTTAGATCAAATTTGCAGCCTCATTCGAAGCGCTCGCCACAACTCTTTATTTTCCAGCAGAGTGCCAGGCCACACTGTGATTGTTTAAATTTGGACAACAATTTAGCCGGCACGTTCGAGAAATTGGTTAAATAAATATTGGTAACAGAGAAGTGCATTCAATACCCATTGAAAAATATCATATAAAATCGATGACTGCCTCTCATAAAATTTGTTGGCAAATATTTAATTGTTTACCGGTTTCTAACCAGGATGTGTTGATTTCCTATTTTTCGCTATTTTTCTATTCCTACAATTAAATTACTCTATTCAAATGAAAGCCAGTTTTGACTGTTTCTCGTTAACCTTTTATGTGAACCCGGATTTATTTTTGCAACGAATTTGAATTTGAAATACGCATTCAGTGGGAATTGCATTTTCGTGGATGGATGATATGTATACCATACGTATGTACCTACAATCCCAATCAATCACACTAAAAGTGCATAATGGGCGTTGTAAAATCAAAGAGTCTGATTAAACCGATACTAAAACGATACGAAGGGCATAAATATCGAGGGCATTGCAAACACACCATGCCACGCCCTAACTCAATCATTCAGGAGGCTGTTCAGGCTGGGTGTGCGTATAGTATGTGTGTGGATTTAACGGCAACAATAACAAGGACTTTGCCTGCTTATCAGGCAGAGATACTGTCCCCTACCCTACCCTCCCCATCCGAAAAGAGGAATAACATTATTTCAATATGTACTTACACTCCAAGCGAAATGTTTTTGGCATTGGCTGGCAATAAAAAAATTATTGCCCTGCATTTACTTGTTCACGCGATCGTCGCAGTCCTCGAAATCGGGGCTTTAAGTGTTATGTAACATGTGTTGCCTTTGGCATTTGCCGGAATGGAGGCCACCCACCCAAAGCCCTTTTTTTCCCCTGCCGGAGAGATAGAAGATACTTCCGAAGGCACTTGGACAGATATAGCCTATAGGTACATCAAATCGCATTTATGCTGTCGGCAGCTGCTGAATAAGCCAACTTGAATGACTGACACAAATTTTTTAGCCGACAGTGCGTGTGTGTGTCTGCGGAAATAAATGCCTTTAATGAAGTTCCTCTCGGCCAAATGGCACAACAGGAAGTCTCTAATTGATGCCTGAATAGGTTTCTTTCCCAGGCGGAAATCGATAGTGTGTGCGCCAGCTGGATTACAGATTTTCCATTTATCTCTGGCCGAAGACAAGAAAGCGATTTTATGGAGATTTCTAAAAGTGCACACAAGCAGAATGAATGCACATTCGGATAATTGCAAGTCCTTTAAGAACTTAAATGCTTTCAATTTGTAATCGATCGTCTCAGGATAAGAAAATCTGATAAAATTATTATTTCAAGTGTATCTATCAGCCAGGCCACCAATCCCCATGATATAACTAATCTAGCCAATGCAATTACGACATCACTTTCTCACTCAATCCAAAGTGTTTGGACAGAATGCCGGCCATATTAATGTGTGTGTCTATTTTCCCGCTGAAGGGCCAGAGCCCACATAGTCATCGGGTCAAAACAAACAGCCAACACTGCCATTAGAGAGCCGTGCGTATTGGCCAGGTCCTGGCGCTGGTCCTGGCCAATTAAGCAATTACGCTAACAAGCTTTTATTATGTTGTGCAAGCCGGGCTGAAACCAACAATGGCCATGGCCAAGTCAATCCCGTGGCCCACCCAGGAACTAGCCAAGGTGTTGAGCAAACAATTAAAACGGAAAGCGCAAAGGACAACAGAGACAGAGAGAGCGGGTGGCCCGAAGAGCCTGTGAGTCCTTCCTGCTGGTTAGCCCAAGACATCATTCTCGAGAATTTAAAGTGGCCCCAGATTAGGTGGCCAAGGCAAGTGTGCCGGAAATTTATGGGCATAAAGTTTATTTTTTTATTCTTTTTTTGTTCCGGATCGCCTGTCGGCATAAATTATAGAAAACAAAAGGGAGACCACCAGACCCCCCGAGGAGCCAGTGGTCCGCCGAGGCTGAAAGTAAAAAGAAGGCGAAACTTTCGACACATTGAAATTGATGGTCATAAATTTTATTGACTTGTTGTCGTAGGCAGTCCATGTACTATTTTATATATTTTCATAAGTTCCTCGTTTTTTATGAGCCCAACGATTATGGGAGAAACACTTTCTATTTGGGCTTAGTTAAATACTTCCAGCGTTTAACTCACTCATCCAAGGGACTTTCAGGACAATTACGACTGCCGCCACGAAAAGGACTATATATTTTGTGGCAAGTTGCTGAAATCCCTCACGTAGCATTCGGCTGGGTTATGATGGGGCAGCCAGTGGAATTTCTAACTGACTTGGCAGCCATTCGAATTACACTGGGTCGAGAGCGCCACTGATCGAATTAAAAGATTTCCAATATTCATATTTCAATTTCAAGAAAAACAAGCCGAACAAGCCAGAAGGAAAACACTTTTATTAGAAGACTTTTTCAATAAGAACTGCCTGAGATTTATGGCTGGCACAACTTATTGAATTCGCCACGAAACATTTAATTTATGGTCTATTTTGGAATTGTTTATTTTCAATAAACTTTAAAGGCTATATAGCGTTTGTTTGGTTTTCGTTTTCTTGCTTATTTTTGTATTATTTTTATGTTGGCCAAACTTTAATAGGATAGTTTATGTTTGAGGTGATTACTACCCATTTTTTTGGCGAATTTTTCAACCAGCCATCTGGTTAGCCAAAGGAGACTGTGTGCAAGATGGCTTAATGTCTGCCCGCCTTTGTCATTGATGGGAATTGTCTATAAAAGAGAAAGAGAGAGTCCAGTTTATGCACCATTAAATGCCATAAAAGGCGTTTTCCATGACTTATATGTGAGGAACGTGGCAGCCACTGGTCAGGTTGCTTGCTTTTCTTTAGCCAAACTCCCACACAAATATTTGTATGTATATAGTACTATATGTATTTGTTGCCTAATTTATGCTTGAAGTTTTCCTTTTTGATCCCCAACCGCAGGAGCTGACTGACAAACAAACAAACAGCGTATCCTGGGCAGGATCTGCCCTCGACTTTGTGTTGACAGCAGAGAGCTTAGCGCCACTTAATATGAGCCAAACGCAATATTAACTTGACGGTGGCTCATCCGACTTTTGCTAAGAGGAGATGCCCCTCCCGTCCCCCGGTGGGTGCTGCCTCTGGAGCTGTCTTCATTAGCTGCTTTATTAACAGTTAATTAAATTTTGTGTTTAATGATTGGCGAGACAAAAGTCAAGAGTCTAGCTGAAGCGAGGAGACAAAGGCTGGAGCTAATATCAAAAATGCTTGCGGCTTGGCATTTATTAAAGTTCCCAAAAAGCCAATTTCATCCATAAAAGGAACAGGAACAGGCTGTGGGGCGAGTGGGACTGTTGCCTAGGCTTCCGAGCCAACAATTACAAGTTTAATGAAACGAGAAATGCCTTTTATAATAATTGGCCAAGCAAAAATGGCCAAAAACACAAGCCAACAAACGATTTCTGCACGAGCAAATTTCGGGCGGGGCTCTTTAGTTTTTCCAGGGGGTATGTTTACCCATAGTGCAGGAAATTTGTTTTGATGGGCTGACCCTTTAGGAATTTGCCAAAATCTGCCAGAGCTACCCATCCCCTGACAGGGTCTCATTTCCAAATAACTGAAATCTAATTACACATTCTCGGATTGGAATGCGCTCGTTCATTTCTTGAAGGCTTATGCTTTTCAAAAGCCTGAGAAAAAACCCCCATAATTATGCAGCTCAGGATCTCGAATGACAACCGTGTAGAAACATAGAACCCAATGCTAAAAAAAAAAGGTAAGGAAAACAAGTCAGCAAGCAAGATGTGGAGGAGGAGGCAGCCAGGCGTAGTAATTGCGTCGGAGTTGGAGTGTTGGAGTGTCGGGGAATTGAAAAGGATTCGAGGAGGAGGTCGGGTGGTTTCTGCTGTTTTTTTCTTAGGGAGAACTCCTCCTGTCAGCAGGTGGCGTTGCCAAGGACTTAAAGGCGTCAAGGAAAAGTTCGCCTGGCTTGAGAGCCTGTCATCATCGCGCCTGGACAGGCAGCAGAATTTTTCTTCAGCTATTTCTTAATTTATGTGCAAGCGGCACAGCAAGAGCAAACAAAATCTGAATTCTAAAAAAAATAAACAATGTTCACCATAATGTTGGTGGGCCTCTGTACAAATTTTTTCCTTCAAGAATTCCCACTTTAATGTTACAGTGACGCCCAAAAAAATGTTCCAGCTTTGGCTCCATGAAGAGGAAAAAAAATCACAAAGAATGCCAGAAAAAAAAACTTTCATGTGAGAAATAAAAAAGAAAATCTTGGCAACGACCATTGAAAAAGTCGGCTGAAATATTACCATAACTGTGAATGGGTTTTGGGGGGTTTTCTTTTCCAGAAACACAACTATTTTATGTCCCAGAAAAAGTATTAAAAGAGAGTTATGAAAATGGCAATGGTACGCCAAGAACTTGGCAAAGTGCGAATACCATATTCCGGACAATGTAAGGACAAAAATTATCAAACCATTAATATCAGTCCTGTTTAAAAGAAATACAAATTTGTGGCGAAAAAATTTGTCATCAAATAAATAAGGCTCAAAAAATTATAATTTGTGTTGGGGAATTTCTTTTTTTATCCCAGCTGTCAGCACACAAGATGAAAAAAATCCTGACAAATTTCTGGCTCATGATTCATGGCGTTGAGGTAAAAACACAGGTACAAATTTTGCCCACAAGCCCGGAAAAAATCTGTCTTAACAAGCAAAATGTGGCGTGGAAAATCTCGTCGTTTTTTTCGCTATTTCGTGGACCGAACACTCTGATGCTTCATCTTGGCTTTGGGTCATTAAAGGTTTTTCTCCTGGCCACATTATAATTAAAGCTTAGACCGAAATCAATCACATTAAACCAACAGACGTGCAAAACAAATCCCCAACAAAGTCGAGAGACATGGTCGAAAAAATGAATGAAACTCCAAAGCTGAAAAGAATGAGGAAAAAAATCCTGCACATTAACATTATTTTAATCAAGGCTGACACAAGGAGCTGCACTTTGTGAAGTGACTGAGATTGCTATCGCCAGCCAGACAAACTCCCACTCCAAGCCAAAAAAAAAAAAGAAATAAGGAGGAAACTTGGGCTTCCATTTTTTTTTTTTTTGTAAGACAACCTGCATGTCATTAAGTCACATGAGGCAAGAGGGGAGGGACATCCTGGCTGGGAAAATCATCATTCATTTTCGTGGTTCGGGTCTTCCCATCAGTGACAATCAAGTTGAGTGGGTTGTGGGCTCTGAAATTGGGCTGACGGCACTTCGATCCAAATCAATCGGTGCGTGGACAAGCTGACAAGAATAAAGGCAAGTTTAAAATCAACTGCAATTCAATACCTTTGTGAAAGGACGAGGAGATGGATGGCTTTTTTGGCAACTTTGATCGATGGCCCTTCCTGGGCTTTAATTAGTAATTGTTTCCGTATCGGGATTTTAAACGTTTAACGGTTTGGTATTCATTTTAAAATCTTACCTTAATAACCACAAAAAATAAAAACTAAAAGAGGTATTAGTATTAATACTGATTACTACAATTTTAGTCTTAATTATATTTAAATAGTACATGTACCAAATTATCGAAAAAGTTGAAACAAATAACAGGCAATTTTGGTTTGACATACAAAGTCGCCACGAAATTCCTGATCCTCTGTGGAAATATATATACAAGACTATGAAAATAAAATAACTTGAAATACTTACGATTTCGAAAATGTGACAGAGCTAAAAATTTAATGGTTGTTATGTCCTTGGTTGTCTTCTATTATTGAGAAACTATCTTTCGTCTTATTGGTAGATGCTTTCTTTACCATATGAAATATCGCCTAAAAAAGTATTATATTAGATAGAATAAAAGAAAAAAAAAAACTTATTTCACTCACCTTGAATGCAGAAAGGTCTGAACTTCTGGATGCATATTAGAAATTTTGTCGAAACTGATGGGAAAATATGGCTTTATCTCAAAGGCAAAATCAATGGCCTTACTACGCCACTCAGGCTTAGGTACTTCGTTTCTGGCCACCATCAAAAGAACGACTTCCAGCATACGTTCAACAAAATTCTCGATCTGTGAACGTTTTTCATCGTAGAGCAAACGGAAGACCTTCAACATGGTAATATTCTCTTCGTAATCCCTAGTCATCGGCAGGCGACTCAAAAGGTTTGGCAACATCTGGTTTAGTGGCACCCCCTCTGGAACGCGTAAGATCATCCTGCCCAGGGCTCCCAGGACATTGTCCCGGACGGCAGGGACTGTCTCGATATCGTAACGATCGACGAGGGCCAAGTAGAGTGGCGGATAGGCCTTAAGCACCACCGTGCTTTTAGTGTAGAAAATGAGCTCACCCATTGCAAAGATGGCATTTTGTCGCTGTTCTGCACTGGGGTCAATAAAGCCGCTGAGGTAGAGTGGATACAAAAAATCGAAGAATGGCGTCACATTGGTCCTCAGCTGGATGACACATTCTTCCACTGACCCGAAGAAGGTTTTGTTGCCATGCGGCTCAATCATGCTCTGCAATCGTCCTAAATGGTGATAGATGCGCCCAAAGTACTCCAAATATACATCCGAACAGAGGGCCCCACCGAAGTGGGCAAACATAACCGGGATCTCAAAATACAGATTTGCAAAGGCCGCGTCAGCGCCATCTTCCATTTCTGCACCCAAAACCGACTGACACTTAACCTTGTCATTGAGCACCAAGTCAATGCTTTTGTAGATATAGTCGGCCACCGCCCGACCGGGTATGGCATTCCGTTTAAGTTTCTGAAAAATTTCACCAAGGGACACGACCACTTTCACCACGACACTCGACTCCTCATCATACCGAATGGCTTGCGCCAGCAAGGGTAAAAGGATCCCGCAGGCTTCTGTTAGTTTTTCGCCATATCCCAGGGTATCCATGGCATACAAAACTGAGCATATACAGTCTACGGTGGCGATGCGTACCAATTCCCCCGGATCGATTAGCAGGCGAGTAGCGTGTTTCAGGGTATCCGGCAAGTGCTTCTGGAATAGTTTGGGTATTTGATCCACGTACTCCTTGAGGAGGAGAAGGGCAGCCGCTTTCAGATTACTGGCAGTTTCAAGGTCCTTTTTGCCACAAACCGTATCCCTGCCAATGTGTTCCATAACCGCGGATAATGAGCTGGCGCATTCCTCGCCCAAAATGGGAACCAAAGAGGAAAGGAGATCATACAGATAAGCCCTTAGTTTGCGATCCTTGATGAACGTATTCAATTGGTCGAGGCAATATTCGTGTGCCTCCTTGGCCATCGGCAACAAGAGATGGCCATAATCTTCAAAATATCTGGCAATGTTCGCCAGGACTTCAATACCACGAGCGCGTAGGTCCAACTGGTCTATCAGTTGTACTTCAATCGTGTCCTGAGTTTCCTTGTGCATTTTCAAAAGGGTATTTAGAACCTTCTCGAAATGAGGAAGCAGACGCTGCCTGTCCAATGTAGTAACAGCATTTTCTCCTGAAGTAATCACCTCATTCCATTCTTGAATCAATTGCTCCCCCGTCACTGCGTTTGCCTCTATTTCCATTTCCATTTTATTATTTTTTAATTCGAATCGGTATTATATGTGATTTCTACTATGTGTTGTTTCTAACGAACTGCCGAAACTGAAGTGTGAAAATAAATCATGGGGTCACTTTCTGAACGATTTGTATAAAGCGAAGAGTACTTGTTTCTGGCCCAGTTTGTTTTGATTCGATAACAATCGATTCATTACGTGACCGGCACATCAATAAGCCAGAGAGCTCTGTCCAACCATCACAACATATTTATTATTTAAAGACGGTAAGTGAATTAAAATGAAATTTTCTATTTGGTTTGTGGGGTCCTTCAAAGCCAAAAACCAAACAAAAAAAAAAAAGAAAAAGAATACAACGCCACCGCAGGCAAATTGCTTTTATAAACTCGCCGACAAAGTCCTTCACCATTCCCTTGAGGGTCTTGTGTGTCGCGTCTCGCCCCTAAGGAGGCAAAAATATGTGAAAAATTTAATTTTGTCTAAAATGCGCCAAGTAGACAAAACAAATGTGCAAAAGTTGCCTCCCCGCCCAGCAACTGGGCCTGCTTATTGCTCTCATAATATGGCCAAGTTCAAGTTAATATTTTGAAAAATGCCACATCGTTTAAGCGTCTAAGTGAGTCGCTGGTCGTTGAGTATTTATGGCTAAAAATACATCAACCTGTCGCAAGCCGGGCCAAGATCTCGTCCAGAGCTTAAAGAAACCCGAAGCATACTTTCCAGGGCCCGCCGAAATGGTCCGTCATTTCTCTTGGCCGTAAGTCGCGGCTTTTGTCCATTATTGTGTGCAGTATGGCATGAAAAGGACACAAAAAAGAAACCCGCCACGAAATCAGTGTCAAAAATGGTTGGTGTGACAGCTATGTTAACCAGGATGTATTTATTTGTCCTGACAAGGAAAATAAGGGGTTTCTTGACGGCTAATTCGATTTATTTGAGGCTTACATCGCGGTACTTGCGCGGTTCTATTTTCAAAGGGAAAGTTAAAGGCTTTTTGAATAATTTGAATCGATAATTCGCCCTCTTTAATAGACGAAAGTCATTTATATAATGGAATATATTTGAAGTGCATTGCCCGAAGAGGAATATTAAAATAAGCAGATGGCTCAAGTGCTCAGACCTCACTTAACCCTGCGACCTGTAGACTTTGCATAAGGTCACTGTCCACCGTGACTTTCCGATGAGTAAGCTGAATTTTCCTGGCAGATTTGCATGGATTTAACCAATATTGAACTCTGTCAAGCCGGCCTAAAAGAAAGCCCTTTCCTGATGCCAGCAAATATTTGCCTGTGAGCTGTCCAGATCAGAGTCCCCATCACCCACACACGCACTCGCTTGGGAATCCCTTTTTTCCAGCAAGTGGGAAAGTTGCTCCTTTTTTCGGCTCCCCCTTCTGGTTGTAATGTAAATCTATTTTAATGTATGCAGCAATTAAAAATACATCAGTTTACTTTCGGGCGCCTTTGACAGTCTCTGTGTGCTTCCTCGGCCTCGTGCTCGTCCTTGTCCTGGTTGTGGTCCTGGTCCTGGCAGTTAATGCGCCATTTTGGGCTCATTAAATTTCATTGCGTTAAATGTTTTCACGTCATGCATACATACGTTGTGTAATTTTTATTTAAATTACATCTTTCACTCGTTTTTATACCCTTGCAGAGGGTATTATAATTTTGGTCAAAAGTGTGCAACGCAGTGAAGGAGACATCTCCGACCCTATAAAGTATATATATTCTTGATCAGGATCACCTCCTGAGTTGATATAAGCATGTCCGTCTGTCCGTCTGTCTGTCCGTCTGTCTGTTTCTACGCAAACTAGTCTCTCAGTTTTAAAGCTATCGGCTTGAAACTTTGCACACACCCTTCTTTCCTTTGCACGCAGTATATAAGTCGGAACGGCCCGGATCGGCCGACTATATCATATAGCTGCCATATAACTGATTGATCGGAAATGGTATAACTTTGGTGTTTTTAGAGTTAGAGAGTTCAAATTTCACATGAGAGCTATTTTTGGCAAAATAATACGACATGCCAAATTTCGTAAGGATCGGCCGACTATATCCTATAGCTGCCATATAACTGAACGATCGGAAATGACCCAACTTTCGTGTTTTTGAGGATAGAAAGCTGGAACTTGGTACAGATTATATATTTGGTCAGTTGATCCGACCTACCAAATTTCATTAGGATCGGCCGACTATATCCTATAGCTGCCATATAACTGAACGATCGGAAATGGTATTTGGTAGAAATATCAACTTTCGTATTTTTGAAGATAGAAGTTTGGGACTTTTTTTAGATTTTGTATTGTAATAAATTGGATTATATATTCCTATTCCCATAAGGATCGGCCAACTATATCCGATGTTTGCGATATATATCCGGTTTTAACTGCAAGGGTATATAAACTTCGGCTCCGCCCGAAGTTAGCATTCCTTTCTTGTTTTGTCAAGTTTTAAACCACTTTGTATCTTTTGGCATAATTTAAACATCAAATAAATGTAATGAAGTGATGAGAGGCCTCAGCTTCAAGCTGATAACGTTCCATTAAACGATGATGTCAGTGTGGCAACTTCATTTGCATAAAGACCGACACGTGTCAGCGACTGTCATTGAACTGTCATCCGGTATCCTATTTCGAGTCCTCGCTCCTGTCCTTGCTCATTACGCCTTTCCATCTCGGACACTTCCTGTTTTGCCTAATTACTCTCGGAACAAAATTCATTAAATGCCCCAACACTCCAACCTGTTTATCTGCTGGCTATATTTAGTCTGCATAGAAATTCATTAAAAAAAGAACATCCTTGTTGAGGTCCTCGGAATCTGTGTTGGCAGGCACTTGACATGACACGATGTGCCCAGAATTTGTTTACATCGCCCTCTAATTGCGGGCAACTCAAAATCCACTCCACTCGAGGGCAGTCGTAAAGTACAATTGCGTGTGGTTTGCCATTACAACTTGTAATTTACAAGATGTGAGCAGTCAAAGTTGAAAGCCTACAAGTCATGAGATTTTAGCATATTAATATCTTGGCCATAAAGCAAGAAAGGCAATACAAAATGATATACTACATCCAGTTAAAGGCCATTTCGACTAAATCTTATTTCCGCATCACAACACGGAAACTGACTATTAAATAGTTACCCAACTTATCCCCAAAAGTCACTTTTCACATCCATTTGCTTATTGATTTATTTATTAGTCTGTTGTTGCTAAATATTTTATTGCCATTTTCTTATTGATTTTCCCGGTGGCTCTTTTTGAAACTAACGAACAAAATTGCTCCTGACAGTAAAAACAATAGCACAGCCAATAAAAGAAAACTTTTGTTATTTTCGGGGGGAACACATGCCGGGGACATTACAGCCAAAATAGAAGCAACAAAAAAAATAAGCAAGCGAAAAAGTAAAATCATTAAAATTAATTACACAAACATTATTGTGCCGTCGGCAATTAGGGTCGAGGAAGACTCCGGTTTACCAGGACTCTACAATTTCCGACCACATCCTGTGAAATTCTCCGATTGGCAAACCACAACAAAGTAATTTCTATGGAAAGGACACGGAAAGAAAAAATATTACAAAAAATGTATTTTATTCCAAAGCCGTACTTGAAGTTGATAAATAAGCAAATATTAATTCAAAAGCTTATGTATTTGAAGAGAATTTGTTCATATAATAAATTTATAGTATTTTTTTAAGTGCCAGTACATACACAATCTCAGTCGACAATAATGAATACTTAATAAAGCGGCATTCGAGGTGGTCGAACCGAGTTGGCCACAAACAAAGACGGCCAAAGACCATGCAAAGGCTGCGGGCCAAGTTTACCTTTGTTTTGGGTCCACACTTTTTCCCCGCCCACCAGGTCCAACTTACTACCAGTCCCCTATTGCGGCTTTTTGTTCTTTTTCTTCTTGGAAGGCGGAAAATTTTATTTCAATTATCAACGGTAAGGCGGACGCCATTTAGCATTCAAGTTGATTTAATTTGTCAGCGGGAACTTGGCCCAAACAGCCACACCCAGATGGGCCAGGCTAACATTTTTTTTTGTCCTTTTGTAGGCATTTCATCCCAACTAACAATTAAGGGGACAGCTGTTGAAATTGAATTGATTAAAATCATAAAAACCAGCACTGACAAAAAAATGATTTAAAGTACATCGAGTCAGTTATAATAAAAAGGATATTAAATTCCAATTTTAGATGCCTGGATTTCAGCCCTTCTCTTTGAAAAATCCATCAAATTTTTATTGAAGACTAAAATGCAAATTGATAACCGCAATCACAATAATAAATCGATAAACTCATGCATAGCTATTACACTGACAACCTCCGAGAGTTGTTATTGTTTTCCCAATAATTTTAATTAAAATTTGGGAGCACGAAAGGGGAATGGGATTCAGAAAATTGCCCGCAATGGTAAATCAAAAGCCATCCTTTTAAAAATTCATTGGAAAAACCCAGAAGTTATGCTGGTATATATGGCAGAACCTCGGTATTAAATGTCATAAAATCTAAATTTTCTCGAAAAATATAAATTTCCGAGGAAAATCAAGCTTTTAAATTCCATTTTCTTTGTTTTATTTTGTTCTTAAGCTTGAAGAATGTTTATCAGGGGCTTATCTCACATAACGACCCTTGTGTTTATGATGTGATAATTGAATTGATTAAATAATTCAGGGATTCATTAAAGCTGCATGACATGCAATCTGCAATATGGCAACGTGGCGTATACGCAACGCTCATGCATATCATCGAGGGGAAAAATGAAGGAGTGTCAACGCTCTTGGCAACAAGTGGATAATACTAATTAGGATCGCCTGGGGCGGAAGGAGCAAGGACATGTCAATGACGATAACAATGTAAATGTAAATGTCGATGTCGATGGCGATGTTGATGGTGATGCCAGGCAAGGCCAGGCAAACAATAACAGGGGCTGGGGTGTGGTTCAAGTATTTTTTGCGGAATCCGATGCTTCTTTAATTAAGCAGACGACTGGAGCCGGATGGTGATGATTACGATAAGCTCGGCCTAATATTATTTAAATATTTGGCATTAAATCCGAGAAGGAAAACACACTCACACATCCCGAAGGCTTGCAGTTCTCCAGTAAGCACATTGAAAGACGATTTGGAGGCTTATAGACGACATAAGATGACAGACTAATTGGCATAAGCAGCTTGTCTGCCAAAAAGGTATTTGAGGGGGCTCTCAAGTCTTTGATTCACGTAGGTGGCATATGCCTAATAAATAGTACCGAGTACTCTAGAATCTCAATTTAATGAAGTTCCTAGCATGACAACAACTGTGGGTGGCAGTTAAACAGACAAATACCCTGAAATACTCTATCTGTCAATCTTGAATACAATTTTCAACCCTTTTTCCATTCATTTTGTATATTTACAGATTTTTGAAACGCATTTCTAAGCATTTCCGTGGACGGACTTTTATTGAATTTGGTTGGTAATTCAAGCCAACATAATGCTGGAACCCTATTGTACGGAAAAATGCTGATAAATGCCAAATCAAGTGACAACGATGTGAGAAGTGGTAAGGCAGATTGTCTAGCAATTGGCTGAAGCTACACAAGTCATGGTTATCAAATAAGTATGTAGAAGGATATATATATCTGTGTGTATATTTTTGTGTGTGCGTGGGTGTGACTGAGCCTGGAGCCTAAAGCGCCTCTTTATACTGCTATTATTATACATATATCTGTATATATATATAATTTCTTTTTTTCCAAGTCAAGTCGCGGCAATTGACAAAACATTTCGCATATTCACAATGCCTGGAAGGGCAAACTGTTTCCTTTGTCGCATCCAATTTGTACCTAACAACTGTCAGACATTTGTCGTTTTTGGTTTGGCTTTCGCCAGTCACATGGAATTAAATTTCGTGCGCCAGTTTTTGGCCCAATTGTGTGGAAATATGTCAACGCAGGGCTCTCCTTTCCCTGCTCAGCTGCCAAAACATTGGCTAAAAAAAATTATTTGCTCGACTTCAAAAAAGCAAACAGTTCCACAGTTGATGGAGCATCAGAGCTTCCCAGCCTCCCGGGGAAAAAACATCGAAAACTGGCACTGGTATAAGCTGACATTGATGAGATTTGCACGGTGAGTATTCGTCCATGGAAGCTGACATTTCCAGGATCTCTCCAATGCCTGCCGGAATTCTACAAAACTGTAACTAGATTACCTTTCGGGCGCAAGCCCATGGCTTTAAACTGCTAGTTCGTATGCCCTTCCGAATTCCCTTGAAAAGCAGTCCAGGGCATGGTGTGTTTCTGTGAGTGAATCTTTAATAAAATAATTAACTGTAGCCACTGGCAAGTGTACGCATAAAAGTAAAACTATTTTATGACAAAATATTTTATAGCAAATAAAATGTGTCAGGTCTAAGACAGCCAACGAAGGTATCTTCTTATAAGTAAGCCGCTCGACAAGCTTGTAAAGTGTGTGTTTCCGGGCATAGACATAAACTATAAATTATATTATACATCTATAGGCTTAAATTTAATAAAAAAAAACTACAGCTAAGCGCATCAAATGCTAAAAATAAACCAGATTGGAAAATGGGATTTTGAAAACTGCAAACAAAAAAAACCAAAAGTGCTCAAAAGTGCTGTGACCACGAGCCCCAATTTTTTTGAAAGTTTATTTTTTTTGTTGGCTTTCAAAAAAAAAATGTCACAAGCTTCGGGGTACTTTTGGTTTTTTCTTCAAACTTTCACCACATGTCTCCACTGCGTATACGTAATTATACTTAATAATAAAATTTAGCAGGATAAGAAACTATTTAGGAAAGACTATGCTTAGTTTGGATTTATGGCTGAGCTGTTTAAAAATACTCATTAAATCGGGTAAAATTATGTATGCAATTAAAAATTGCATAAAATTAAGAAAAAAGTTCTCATCAAAATCTTAGAAAAATATAAATTGAAAAATATTGAAGCCTAATATTAAAGAAAATTAAATTATAAACTCTTAGCTAAAATTTAATGTTGGCTGTTGTATCAATGTATTATTAATGAATAAGATAAGTTATTTTATAAAAGAGAAACGAAATATTAAAAGAGTAGGTTAACGAAATTATTCAAGGCCCTGATCAAACCAAAAACTTAATATTACTCAAGTTAAGAAATACGTAAGCTAAAGAATATAGTTAAGGCCTTAAACCTAAGAAAAATATTTCAATAGTAAACAGAATTAAAAGTTATTTAAGATGAATGTTGTTGATTCAACTACCCACTAGTTTAGGGTTGTGTTTGTAGTCTGTAAAATGTTTTGACAAAAAAACATAACTTAAAACTGTTTAAAAAAAAGAGATTGCACGTGGGAAAGTTATTAAATAAAGATTAAAATCATACGTATGAATATAAAGTGTGCAAAAACTATTCGATCAACAATATTGAATGCTTGAAAGTAAGTGGAAAATGATTGACTAAATTGAATATCACGAATGAGCCACAAAAGCCGTCGCAGCTGAGTATTAATGTAAACTATATTTATGTAGCCAAAAAAATAAAAACAAAAAACTGTTTTAAAATACGGATTACCGACACACGAAATAAATAATGGATGTTGACAGAATTTGAAACAATTTTTTTCAATGGAAATAGTTAATCTTAAAGTAAGTATCTCGGTGCTTTAATACGGTATAAACTAATTTCAAGACTATAGGACTACCACTCCCTATCATCGCAGCATGTGTCGAAGTCCCTTGTCCCGCTGGCATGCTTTGATCAAATAAACAAACAAATGACAAATAGGGACAAATTCTCAGACAGGCGATTTGTCACAAGGTAATTTATGTGCACAGTTGTGTCTATCTGGGGGAAATTAGCCCTTAACCAGGTCAACGTCGTTCAAAAAGCAAACATGCATCCCACATTCCAGATATATATATAATATACTAGTTGGTACATCGGCCACTGCATCAGGTATTCCGGAGTGTTCCTTTCCTTAAATTAAAATGCTGGCAGGCTAAAAGTTCGACAAGAAGTTCATAACTGAACAAGAAGACAAAAGCAGGAAAACTTTTATTTTCCCTACATTCCCGAAGTTGTGCTTCTCAAACTATTTCCAACAACTTGGCTTAAGGTTATTGAAGTAGGCAAGAATTCCAATTCATCGTCTTAAATACAGGAAACGGCTTTGTAGGATATTCCGGGATTTCATTAATAAGTAAAATCTTTAAAAGAAGTGAATTTAATAAAAGGTAAGCTTAACAAGTAATCTTATTTGATTATTTCTGACATAGTGTTCTATGTTCAGTATTCGTATAATTTATTTATTCATTAATTCATTTAAAAAACCTCATTTATTTGATCTAGTTATTTATGAGCCTATTCGCCTCATGAATTCAATTATATTATTTGCTTACCAAAAAAGCTAATGAGCAAACAGGTCAGAATTGGAAACTTGAAACTAATGACTTCATTTAAATAAACATAAAGCATAAAATGACGAATTAATTGACAACCATTTAGTGGACATTTTCACTAACCCAATTTTTTCTTTCGTTTGCTCATTTATTGCGCAATTATCGACTGAATGGCTATTTGATTTTGATAATTGCTGTTTGGCAATCGCACTTAAAGACCTGGATAACCGCAGCCACCATGGTAGCCTGATAATTTTGCGAATATTGCCGGCGGGCTTCCGCGGAAATAACCAGGGAAACCAATTGGAAACATTACGAGGAAAAGGATAATGTGGTTTGAAATAAAATACTATATCTGGGTCACAGTTCAAAAGTATGGCCCACATATGTAAATCGAATGCCGTTTAATGAAAATGCATTACGTGAATTAAAAGTTGTAATTTATTTGATGTCATATTTTAAAGATTTAATGGTGCCATAGCCAGAGAAATATTGGCACAGTTTCCATTTTTAAATTTTGTTGATGTGGTAGACCCATTTCAAAGTAGCTTCCTAATAAACTGCCCAAGCCAGAGCACTCCATCAGGGGGCCCCTGTCAAGATGTTGCTACCTGGTCTGCAATTTAATCGTTACGAATGTTTGGTCATAAGTCTTGGTCTTCTGAAGGAAAAGTCCTTTGGGCTGGGCGAGGACATTGAGCAGAGTGGCATTATGTGGTCGGCTGTCCTCTGCAGTGGTACCCAACTGATGCACAGATTATTACTCTGATGATTTTATTTGAAACCGTACTCCCAACAGGACATCTCTAGCTTTTCAAAAGACCACTGGATAGCCAAAGTTATTTTTCTAGTTATTTTTCCCACTGCCATAAAATGTTCATCCGACATGAATAAAATGCCAGAAACGGTAGCGATTTGTTCGGAAAAACTATCCAGAAGGAGAACGATAAAGCAAATGAGATGTCAGGTGGGGGAATAGTTTAGAAATTTGAGTTTTATGACCAACTGGGTATGACATTTGTGAAAACTTATCTAAAGCCACTGGGAGGACAATAAGCGTATAAGAAATCCTTACCCAACTAAAGAAAAACAAAGAATTAAGAAACTTTAACAAAGTATAACTTGGAGAGAAAATAAATTCAATTACAATTAAGCGACATTCTGACACATGTAAGCAGGCACTTTCAACCGCGAGTCTGGAGCAAGTGGGCCTTAACCATTTTACCAACACGTTCCGACCACAACGACCCCAAAACCAACACCAACAACACCCGAATGAAGGCCACAGAACACCCGAAAGTTTCCTTTCTGTCAATGTGTCTCTGGGTTTCCAAAGTTTCTGGCGTGAAATGTGTCACTCAAAAGCAGCAGCAAAAACAATACAACTTCTGCAAGTCTGGGTTGCCAAAATATAATCTACTCGAATGACTGGAATTAAACGCTAAGTTGGCGATGACATTAAATTAAATAAAAGCTTTATATCCACAATGATTAATAAAATAGTGGAGTATATGTATGGGTTGGCTTGGTAGCCATTGCATTGGTCTACTTAGCATAGCACTTACTATTTACAACAGGAATACAATAACTTTTATAATAAACAAAGTGCCACTTAAAACTTTAACACATTAAACAGTTAAGGCCTTGAGCGTATTGCAACATCCTTCCGACTTTAGTTGCAATAATGAAATTGTCTCCGGCAAGCCGGGCAAAACACACTCGCCGAACAAATGGCAAATTAAGTTCTGAAAACGGTTTCCACTTACGGCAACTGCATGTTACTGTTGCAATTTGGTTGCCTGGCTGTTTGGTTGCTGTTGTCCTTTTGCCAGGACTGTCGGGAGCAGGGAAAAAGCAAAGCTAAATGGCTGACAAGTGCATGCCAGGCGTTGCCAGTCAAGCTGTTTGACTGCTGCTGAGATGCAGTCCTCTGCCCAGGATCAGTTCACGAGCTTTTGGTCCTGGCACTCCCAAATGGATTTCAAACTAGTTAAAGTTGCAAAAACTGCAAACATCAGTCCCCTCCCTAAATGCAGCCATAGAAATGCCATGTGTGTGGCACTAAAAAAATGTGCGCTAAAAAAAAAAGGAAATTCGCTTCTCAATTGAATTAAATGCGTTGGCCACCAGCTCTGTCGGTTATATCCTGGTAATATTTTAAAAGCACGATTTAAAACACTTTTTAAGGTATATTAAAATTATGTTTGTACCCGTTATCAATTAGCTAATAGTGTAATGTCACCAACTTTAATTATAAAGCGAAATAAAGGCAAGTGCATTAGGAAAATTAAATGTGACCGGCAAGAGGAAAATGTAAGCAGAAGTGCAAGGACAACATAATTATTGCAACTTTGCAAAAATACGTAGGAGTTCCTGGTGAGTCGACACCATTTCAACTACTCTACTTATGTCTTTAGAGTATCCCTAAATTTATTTAAAGATAAATTATATTTATTTGTCTCCTAAAACACCATGTGCAGATAAACTAAACAAAAAAGTTATGAAAAATATGCAAGCTAAGAAATTGCAAACCTGGACAAAGTTTTCTAGGACCTTTGTCCACAGGAAGCGCATTCAGCAAAATCCCCAAAGGAACTTGGCTCGCGTGAAGTCCTGGCTGGAAGCCACAATCCTACCGCAAACATCCTTTTCAGCTCCCATTTTTCCAGTGTCTGTACGGCATTGTGTTTACATTTGCAGTATCTAATGACTTTTACCCGGAGGCTGTCTCTCTCACTGTCTCTGCCTGCCTGTGTCAGGGGAACAAAGCGCTCCAGCACTTAAGTGCAATGCAATGACTGTCCCCAAAAGGGCGAGGCAAACAGGACGAAAAAGGGCATCCTGGGTGCCCAGTTGGCCGGCATTTGCCACTGTTCTTTGACGTTTTGGCCGTGCCGAAAGCTGTTTGCACCGCCAAAACACCCGTGCAAACAGAAAACAGTAAAGAAGCAGGATAAAAAAAAGAAAAATAGTAAGCAAGTAATGGTATCCTTGCCGTATAAAACTCTTCCGGTTCATTAAACTGACTGGTCCCGAGGCAATGGACAATGGTCTTCTGGCTAATGCCCAGATATAAATATTTTGACCCGATTTAAGGAGTGTAGCTTATGCTAGCTTTAGAAATATTAGTAATATATGGAAATTTCCTTAA